AGATGTGGTAGATAAAACAGGGATGATGACATGCTAAGAGAAAATGTGTCATGTGGGTCACACCAGTGTAAATTCAGGATATATTTAATATTGAGTTGTAGAATTAAGAATTTAAAACTTGTATGCTAATAAAATATGGATTATTAGCTAGGATTTTATGATATTATAATTGGTATAACATAAACAAAAAGTAGTTTAATAAAATTTTGAATGTAAGACACTAAAACCTTTTGTTATGCACAGTAAAGGATACCAGTGGCAATAGGGTTAATGAAAGGTTATCTTAGGACAAGAAAAGTTGCTTCCCTATATGTAACTGTAAAAAATGCAAAAATGCCCGTAAAAACTGCAAAACATAAAAAGTGAAACTGCAATTTTGCATGTATCTCTGCATGGACCCAACTTTGGTGAAGATCCATCAACAGGGGGCAATGTAGTGGTAAAAACTACAAAACGCAAAACTGAAAAGTTGTATGTAATTCCCCATGGACCCAACAAATTTGGTGAAGGCTCATCAACAAGGGGTAAAGTAATAGTAAAAAATGAGAAAACACAAAAATGGCCACAAAAACTGCAAAATACAAAACTGAAAATTTTCAAGTATCTTCCCATGGACCCAATGAACATCCATCCACATGAGGTGAGGTAGTGGTAAAAAATGTAAAACGAAAATACAAAACTGAAAATTTGTAAGTTCTCCCTGCATGAATTTCTATACCAATTTGGGTGAAGCTCTATCCACACACTGCAAAGTAGTTACATGGAAAGACAATACTATAATATATATATATATATATATATATATATAGATGTAACTTGTAATACATGTTGACCTATTACCATACATAGTTTTTTAGTGGGATGTTATTTATGATTTTTTCCAATACTACTGTAAGAAAAGAATTAACTAATGCAGACAATATCAGCTACTCATGAATGTTTTTCTGCTTTCTTGTTCTCTGTTAGTTATTTACTCTAAGCAAAAAATGGTAGATTATAATAGCTGCCTTGCCTATGAGATTGGCTTGATCAATTTGACTGATCTTATAACCACCATGTAAATATAAAATTATACATACTATAAATCTAAATATATTAATTGTATCTTCAAAAACTTTGGTAAGCTTTTAGTACACAATACATGTATGTTGTATACGAAAAATCAGATTTTTTAATAAGTTATTTTTACTGAAGATTTGTCTGTGAATTTACAAAAGTCTACACTGAGTCAGTCTGAATGGTAGTTGGTTTTCATGCTAAGAATAAAAGTGCTTTTTTTCAACTTACAGTTTTCATATTTCATTTGCATAACCTCCAGAACCTCCTAACTTAATATCATGTTTTGTTTCAGTAAAACTTTCTACTTATCTCTTATCATTTCTACTGTAACATTAATTGCAGTCATATCATTAATGTACAATGAATCAAAAGCTAAAAAAATGAAATAAAATAAAAAATTTATTTTTTCTAGAATGACTGCAGATTGTAACAGATAATTACAATTATCTATCCTAACAGATTCGGGCCTGTTAAACTTTCTACAACTACTCTCATCTAATTTTATTGTTCTTTAAACTATATCTAACTAGAGTAACAAAGCAATAAATCACATTGCAACTATCAAGTTATGAGATGGCAACCTGTGTGCATTCCCTCCTAAAGAGATCACAATTTATATTTTCCCATGCAAGTTTTCCTATCTAACTAATAAGCTTCTAATTTTCCCATCTCAGTTACTTTTGTTTACAAAAATACACATTATACATAAAAAAAGAAATTTAGTAGTTACTTTAGCCTTTAGGTCTTATGCACTTTGGTGCATGGTTTGATAAGCCTTTTTTCCCTATGTTGGTTGTTCAAAATAACTCGTACAGCTTTCAAATATGCGTTTTATAACTGAAAAAAAAAACATACAGAAAAACTACTACGATTTATATAGTTTTCTAACTAACCTATAAATAGGTCAAAAAATTATGTTAAAACAATGTCTTTTGTCTAAACGCACTAAGCTTTCCTTATGAACTATTGGATTTGATTGTTAAAATAAAACAGATAATCATCTGACTCTTTCTATTGGTTATAAACATGTCCAACCGCAACATCAGAGAAAATTATGGAGGGGCATGTCATGTGGGTTCAAGAAATATAGTGATATCCTAGTAAATCAAGAAGGTAAGAGGTTGAATTTGTATATTCTGGCTTGTCAATATCTATAGTATGTATTTTTAATTGGTTAAGCAATCAGAAGCACTTATAAGGGAAGAGAAAAAAACCTATAATGAAAAAGTCACGGCCAAACTGCATCATGCACCTCAGAGGTGCAGACTGAAACTTATCTAAATATTTTCTTTTGAAATTAAGATAATTTAGATAACATGAATATTTGAAATATAAAGTATATTTTGATGCCAAGTTTATCAACATAAATTGATAAACTTGTTTAATTGAAAAATTTTTTAATTAAATTTAAATGTAACAAAAAAGGTTGAGGCATGCACACTTTGACCTTTTCATGTTTATAGGGTCAGTTAGTTCTGTTCATAAATTAGAGGCTGATATGATTGTTACAAGAATTGGATTACACTAATTTTCCTATTTTTAAAATTTATTCATCTTGATATAAATATGGAATGCAACAGCAGGCTATTATTATAGCCATTCATACAGAAAAGCATAAACAAACTTTATCAAAGCTGTTATTAACAGCAAAATTCATATTAACACAGAACAAGGGTGTCAGACACATTTAGAATGCATCTCTCAAACAGATTTTGCTTTGGGAATTATCAAACATTGCTAACTTTTACAATTGTTTGATAACAAACTGAATAACACAAATGTTAGAGAAAACAAATCTTTATACACCAAACAGAAAACTAATGCCCCATCAATGATCTGAACTCCTCAATGAATAAATATGCCTTAAATTAAGCCAATATTTCTATACCCGAGTTAGCTTTTCAGCAGGAGTTTACTGTTAACATCAGTAGGATCATGTTGCAGATCACAATTACCTGAATTATCAGTGATCTTAATCTCTTTTACCACTTTTAAAACCTTTATGATGGATCAGCAGGAGTTTACTGTTATCATCAGTAGGATCACGTTGCAGATCACAACTACCTGAATTATCAGTGATCTTAATCTCTTTTACCACTTTTAAAACCTTTATGATGGATGTTTTTTTAACATTTCTATTCTATTTTTTGAAAGGAATTTTCAGTTTTGGTCTATTTTTTCAAGATCTGCATCATTATAAGAACTTGAGAAATATGAGATGTATAACTTTCCACAATTATACGTAATGTGACACAAGCTAGGAGCATGAGGTACAAAAGGGATGAAGAACAAGCTTCATGATGCATTATCTATATATCCATATCATATTGTTACAAACAAGTGCTAAATAATATTCTTTAAAATTTCTAAACCTATTTCTATTTTATAAAATTTTGTAAGATAATAATGTTTCAGTTTTTGCATCATATTAAAAAGTGTGTTAGAAATTAAACTTTGTTTCTCTTTTAAATATTAATAACATAAAAATACTTAAGAAAATGGGAAATTTTAAATGTGTTACATTTAGAATGTTTAGGGTGTCCTGACATTAAGAAAAGTTTGGTAATTAACACAGAAAAGCTGTATGCAATGCTGCAAACATCACAAACACACAACATTAAAGTAGAATGGCCAAACTGTTGCATTTAAGTTACTCTATTTTACTTTTAGGTACAAAACAAACAAAATGGTCAGAAATAGTTCTTAGTGTGAATATTGAGGTTATGTAACTTAGAATGCACATTAATATAGCCTATAGAAAACAATAAAATATTATACACATAACTGCAACATTTCAGAATGAGTTCTAGACTCTTGTTACAGAATGTTTTTACATAATCAATGAATTTTAGCAACATTTTTAGAGGTCTTAAAGGTGTATTACTAATTTAAAAAAAAAGAAAGAAATATAATATAGAATTGAGATAAAGTATACTCAGCCTACCTGTTTGTCTCATGGCAACACAGCTTTCTCTGGAGCCAGACATAAGTAGCAACTTCCGACTCATGTCTTCTTTGTTTTGTGCACCCAACATTGATAGCAAGTTATAGACCATTTCCACCTGAAAAAAATTATAAGACAGGAAAGCTATTAGAAGCAGTCACCAACTAACAAATACACTGATATTCAAACACACAGGTTCTTTATTTCTGGTAACCATACATCATATTAATGATATCTGTTATTATATATATGTAGTTATGGCATACATATACACTAAGGTTGTATGGTAAAATATTTCTTCTTGATGAAGGACTTACTAAATGAAAGTTTTGTGAACAAAACTAGCTCTACAAGATCTATTTGTTGACTGAGTTATTTGACCCACTATTGACTGCCATTATGAAAAACCAAAATTTGTAGCAAAAATCACAACTCAGTTCATACTAGATGGATCATATAAGCCCATCAATGCTTTAAAGTAATAGTCTCCATGTGAAGTTATCCTAAATGTCAAGAAAAAAAAGTTTCATTCTAGAGGATGAAATGTTAAAATGACTGTGGTCACACATTCAAAATTGTTTCTACAGAATAATAAAAAAAGATGCACACCACACATACCTTAGTTCCCAGTTGCTGAGGTGGATAACGTCTTGCAGTGACAGGGGTTGTGGAAGCAGTGGAACTGAAGCTCATCAAACTGGAAGTTTCTTGATTCAAACCAGCACCAAGGGAGCTGTTATCACCTACGTTAGTTGGCCCACTGTTCCACATCACTAAATGTATGAAGTTTATAACAGATATCAAAGCTAGTATGTTTCCAACACACAACTGTAATGAAACATTCTCTTACCTGTGAAAAGGCTAATTATAAAATACCATGTAACAAATTTAAAAAATCTGAAAATATCTGGAAATTAATTAAGATTGAAATCTTATTTAACCTGTTTATTATTCTGTAAAAATTATCAATTTTGACAGTGTTTGTAATTTCCTCCCCAAATTATTACAATGAAACATTATTAATCATTACTTACAGATTATGGTTGATTTTAATTATTGGCCTACAAATGTCTTGTACTAATTCTTTTTTAGAGGACTCTAATTATCTAAACAGTGCACTTGAGACATTATCATATTTATAACTGTAGCCAAGTACAACAGATAACACAACTGAATTCTGATCTTGAAAATTCAGGTTTGGAATTGAAAATGCTATATAATGCAATAAAGAGTCTTTAATAGGCCTATAGACGAAGATGGTGGCGTACTAGTAGTTGAAACACAGTTGTATGACATAGTGAAATTATATTTTACAATCCTCCTTTATTTCTTTCTATGTGCTAAGAAAGCTAGTGAAAGAATAAGAGAGAGACAGATAGATATTTATAAAAAATTACAACCTAACTATAGTCCAAATATTAACAACGTACTCTATTGAGAATAAGTTTAGTGAGATCATTATACCCTTTCGTCTTGGCATTTAAATGACTTCTTAAAAGTATCATGTAAAATAAACAAATTAGACCTTACTGTAATCAGTCGAGTTAAAAAACATCTGCTCACACACAGAAATGGTTAGAAAGCAACCAAAATAAGTAATTTCTAGGAAAGATAAACAATAATACATCTCTGAAAAGACCATTAATTGTTACAGTAAAATAAAGTGTAATTTAAATGGTTTACCAAAAAAAGACAGATTTTTCATTTTTTAAATTTATTTCTGTGATTTAATATGATTAATTAAAAGATAATGCTAAGAAACGTATTTATTGTAATTTAGAAGACTTTGTGTTTCAATTTTTCAAATGACTAAGTAATTTATAATTAACAAAACAAGTTCAGAAATGATTTTTTGTTAGTTCTCTAGGTCTTAAAATGGAATTAGCAAGAGGGAAAAAAAACTGAAAAGTAATGTGCAGGGCAGAGAACATGGAGATAAGGAGAGCAAAAAGGATGAAGCCCCTTAAAGCTCCTGTATTTTGAACAAACTGGAAGAAAACTTAATGTCTGAAAATTAACAACAATTAATATATTTCTATTTTCCAATACCTATTGAAAGTTAAATAATCTTTTACACCTTATTAATTTCTTTGATTCTAGAATCATTGTTTCTTTTGATAGTTTTTGCCATAAGACTCTCTCAATTTGTCACTTAAATGCATGCTCTACTACCACTATTGAAACAATGTAAAATCCACTACATTTGTAAAAATGTTTTTGGATGTAGTCACATAGCACAATCAATTTGTCACTTAAATGCATGCTTTACTACCACTATTGAAACAATGTAAAATCCATTACATTTGTAAAAATGTTTTTGGATGTAGTCACATAGCACAATCAATTTGTCACTTAAATGCATGCTCTACTACCACTATTGAAACAATGTAAAATCCACTACATTTGTAAAAATGTTTTTGGATGTAGTCACATAGCACAATCAATTTCATTTTACTGACATTCAACTACCTTAATCTAAACTCATTTTTTGTTGGCTGGATGTTCTGACATTTGGCCAATCATAAACATGGTATGTCACGAAAATGAAAATTACAACAAGATTCAGGTTTGTGCCACAGTCATACTACTTAACAATCAGCAGGACAACTTTGTACATTACTTCAAACACACACACACATACATGTATACTTCAATTTTTTTTCTAAACTTCACACAATTTTTAAATATACTGATTATATAAAGTTCTAATTTGTTCCTTTTTTAAAAATGATACTTTAACTAACCGTGTAAGATGACACTTAGATGCAAAGACAAAGGGTATGATTTCACTAAACATAATATGAATGGGGTACATTGTCAAAAATGTGGAATTCTGCTGATGACAGACAATTCTATTGCCTGGTTCAAGAAGCATTCTTTCATTCAGAACTGCGGGAAGTCACTTATGGAACATAAAAAAGGTTTTCCTTAATGTGTGCAATATAAAAACTGAAATGGTCTAGATTATGCTGTAGGTTATTTCTCTTAATTCTTAACATCTATACACTTGGATATTATTTTTATAAAATAGTGTTTTAAAGTATAAATGGATTCTTCTGTTCCCATCATGGCTAAAGAAGAAAGAGATGTATTTAATCTCATTCCATGTAAAAGTTTTGCACCTGGGTAGTCCTTACTCTCTCTCAAAAATACAAGATTTCAGTAAATCAAATTTGATCTTAATATTTGCACTTTATTATGAGTTTAAGCATTTTGTGGATTCAGTTTCTTGCAAAAAACTGTATGTGACAAAAACAAAAAACTAAAATATCCATTATATTTCAATTTGAGAAAGCATGGTTCAACTATAACTAAAACATATATTACTGTAGTGATGCCTCTACTTTAATCCACATTAACTGACCTGGATGATAATAATTTAATAACAGGTTCAGAAATCTTTAGAAAAACAATCACTTTTCTAAGAAAATTAAACTTTTTACCCGTTTAAGAACCTCCTGTGTCTTACATTTTCAGACTGGTTTGCTAAATAAAAACAACAACAAAAATCCTCCATAAAAACAGTTCAGCCATTCCAATTCTATAAAATATTTAAAAAGTTCAAATGTTAAAAATACAATTAAATATTTTAATTCTCCAGTGCATTACAAACCTCTATCAATGGGCCAGTCTCCATGGTAAATGGAAGACAGATTGTTGCTAGAGTCATTCCATGAAACAGGTCCTGACTCATTCACATTCAAGGTATTAGTTTCTGCTGAGTTATGCACTGTTTGAAAGGTTGAAACAAGTCTCTGAGTTGTGCTTCTGAAGTTTTCACTCTATTTTAAATAAACAAAAGTAACATGTATAATAGAATTTCCACACATTTTTGCAGCCCTTAATACAAATACATGTTACATCATTACTCTAATTCTTTACTTTTATGTGAAAATTTTATTTCTGGAAAGATTGAAAATAAAAATAAGAGTGAATATACAGTGGTAGTTTCTCACTTGTACTGATAATTTATTTCTTTAAAGTACACCATAATTTAAGGAGAATAGAAACACAGTTTTATTCATCAAACATTAAATATTTATATACAGAGTACACAAAAGAAAATAGTAACAGTCAGTTGTGCAACTTTAAGTTATAACCCCAAAGGTTATGTTAGATTTAGAATTTTCCCATGAAGCAAGACAAAAGACTATCATAGCTGGACAATTTAATCAATTACCCATGAGCAGCAATTACATCCATTAGTGTCACATAAACTAATCGATAATTCCAAATTACAATTAAACTGACTGACTGAAATTATGATTGAATCCAATTACTAATGTTTTCAAATGTTCCAACAATCGATTAATTAATTAATTTATTTATTTATTTTATGTACCATCATTCAAAGAACACTATTAACTGATCAATCCTATTTGCATTGGTGGGGATCAAGGTGTGTATGCAATGATACTTACAGAGTGTCATTCAACATGGTATTATGTATTTGATGTCAGAGTTGTCAACTATTCATTTTATACCATACTGCTGATTTAACACCAGTTCATGGTAGAGGAGAGTAAATATCAGATGCAAAATAATGGGTTCTTGAAAAAAAAAAACTGTAGATATGCAGAGGTTATGCAATGCAATATGTATACTGTATGATGGACACAAGTATTTTGATTCATCACAAGAATATCATCTTCCACTGTAACTTATCAGAGTCTGAATAATACTGATGTTGGTGTATTCACAATATATCTTGAATAAAAAATATATGTTTATACCACATAATGTTTTGTTTTCAACTCACTTGTTCATTTGACTAAAAACTTGCCACATGTTGTGCAAATAAACATAGTAAATTCAACATTATAGTCAAAATTTTTTCTGCAGTATGGGGCCAGTCTAACAGATTGACACTGTGCACATTTGATTACACAGGTCATTGATAAATTAATTAGCAACAACCACTAACTGCCCAGCTCTAATCAGTCATCCCTAATTTTAAAGTAATAGACTAGAGGGAAGGCAACTGTCAACAGCATACACCACTAACTTTTGGGGTTACTCTTACCTGACTAAATAGTGAGATTTGGCCATCACTCTTTTAGTATACCTATGGTCCTAAAATGTAGAATGTGTCTTCCGAAAATGGGATGCAAACCATGAATCTTTGTATTCGTAATCTGGACACACTAACCACTAGATCATACCCAGACCAACACAAAAGAAAATATAACTAATTTATTGATAGCCTCAGTACTTATGAAATATAGAAAGCAGAGATTATAAGCTGGTTTCTTAATGTAAAAAGATAACACCTGAAGTGTAACATTAGTTCTTCCTATACTTTGAGCATATACTTAAGTTATGAAATTGGCACAATGTGTAAATGTTATATAGAATTAGTAAAAACTGCAACTTGTTATTGAATTATGGGAGTATCATTACAATCTAAACTTTGAAACCTTCACTTAACATTTCAATTTTTTATTTATATTTCATGGCTTTCTGGACTTTATTATAAATCTGAATCTTTCACTTTCTTCTTCTGGTAGATTGTAAGGTGCATCTTCAGTGATTGTAGCTATAGCTATGGTGGGTATTTTGTTATAGTTAGGATGAAGGTTTAGTCCTTTACATGTTGGATACTTATGCTTAAAATGTATAGACAAAAGAATGTTTATTTTTAATTTAACAGTAATTACAATATCTTACTTGCTGCTCCTGCATAGCAGAGGTAGGTGGTTCTTCAGTATTAGTTACAACTTTATTGTCATTGCAATCTTCTGGGTTCTCCTGAAGTAGGACATAGTTTAAAGGTGAAATATAGTTTTAACCTTTTCAATTATACGTGAAAATATTATTATTATTGTTAATTGATTCATCCTCCTGTAAGATACAAAACTGGTCCTAACATCATGGTTTTTAACATATAAAACTAAAAGCAATATTTGTGGCTCTGTCAAATTCTACTAAAATAGTAATAACAGTTTGCTGAGATGTTAGCTACTCTATTAAACTGTTAAATAAATTAAAAATTAATAGATTAAATTTAGAACAAAAAGATTTTTATAGGCCTATATTTATAGATCTAGATTTATTATAAAAAATCAAAATAGCTTAATTAAAAGAAAAGTTAATTGAAGATTTTTTCAAACAATTAATTTTATCATAAGTCCAATTAAAATCCCTTTTGTTTTTATGAAAACTGCATAACTGAGCAATGCTTATGATTATAACAGTGTTTGTAATTTACTTGGTGGGAGAAAAGGTAGTGGCCCATGTGCTGTTATTAGGAATCATAAAAATGGCATCTAAATAAGCATTGCTCACTATTTTCATTCCTTGCATTCTTTATGTTTGTGTTTAACAAAACATTTTCTTTTAAGTACACCTAAAAGTAATTTCAGTCATACTTCCCCTAAGTCACAAAATAACATGAAATAATAGACTCTTTGAAATAACTATAATTACCATTATTTGAAGTGGTATAAACATTATGTACAATTTAACATTTCAACATGTATTGTTTTTTTTCAAACCTATTAATTATTTTTTTACAAATCCTTTAATTTCTTGAGCATGGGTGGGTCAAAGTGCATGTGTCTTACTTTTTTACAGTTACATTTAAAATTTAATTAACACAAACAGCTTTATTATCAATGTATATCAATAACTTTAACATTAAAATGTAGTTACTAATTAAATTTATAATCAAAAGTTGCACAATGCGAAGACAGTGGAAAGACTGATGTAGATAATGAAATTAAAAAGATTAACTCCTTTTTGAGAATATAGTGACAAAAATGGAAAATTCATGGAGTGTGTCACCCACTGGGGTAGGGGGGGGGGCCTAGTGGAAACGTCAGTTGGTGAAAAAACCATGCCCATCTCAAACAGAGAATATTCTTCACCCGATACAAATGGTACTGCAGAAAGGGGGTTGACACAACATGTATGTGTAATGTGGCTAGGATAACAAGTCAAGCCATACAGTAAGTGAGAAATACCTATATGATATACTTACCAAAATAAGTAAGTGAAGGAGCAAATCATTGCAGACCTGCATCCCAAGGAGAATGCAAGACCTATCCAGTTGACCACAACCATTGGAAATGTTCCAGTGGGAATACCCTGACCCAAAGGAGAACTCTCCATACCAACCTCTCCAGCAGCATGGTAATGGATAAGCAAGGGTTTTTCCACTAATCAGTCAAATTAGAAGATAAGTCATGAGAAGAAGATGAATCCCATGGCAAAAACAAATGATGTAAAGAAAGCAGTGTGAGTGAGATAACAGCAAGCTGCCTGAATAGGACAAAAGGGTCTGAATGATTGTACAGAGAACAAAGGGAAAGAAGGAAGGATGATTGCAGAAAACATCCAATCACCCTGCTGAGCAGCCCAAGTCTTGGAAAGGAAGGAGTGATCTGGGAAGAAAATTACCTTGTCCCTGGGGTAAAGAATACAGGAAGTATCCATGAAAAAATGCAAGGAAGAAGAAAATATGTCTGTAGAGAAATACTTAATTGGAACTAGTGACCAAAGGTTTGAATGTAGGATATACAAGAGCCTATAGAAAAAAATAGAAGCTCTAATCTGGAAGATGAAGAGGAAGACAAATGATTAGAAAAGCTCAGTAAAATCTGTAAGAACTGAAAAATAGCATGAAAATGGCCAGGGAAGTGGAAAAGATAGACTGCTTTGTCACTGGAAATCATACAAATTGTCCTCAAAAGGTAAAAAAATAACTTGAGATAAGGAAGAGTCAAACAACCTGGAGGAAGGGAGTGGAAAATATTAATCATGCTCTTGCAGAAATAAACTGAAAGGGTGGATAGGTGACAAAAGTAAGCTACACTGCAAGAAAAACCTGCCCACCTTGCCAGGGAGCAGACAAAAGACACATGTGAAGATGAAGGCATAGAACATCATGGTGAGAGATGGACATCTGATGCTGACATAAACAAAAATCCCCATGAAGGAAGAGATAAATGTCCCAGGATTGGTGAGAGGTGAAAGAGAAGAAACTATAATTATGCTGGCCAAAGAAAGGCAATGAGAAGAACCTGGCAATGGGTGCTGTGAATTAAAGACAGCATCCTAAAAAGAAATCAAAGAAATGGATACGCATACAGAAAGAATGTGGACTAATACACACTTAGAAGGAATACCACAAGGGCCACAGGCCATAGAGTTTGGGACTGGAGAACAAAAAAAGAGGAAGCTTTGTACATGGGGATGTCACAAATGCATCATTAAGATGATTCCCAAAATGAAAACATATCCAAAGAAACATCAAGATTTGGATCAAGCGAGAAGGTCAATCTGCCACTAAGTACAAAGTTTCCAGAACATGGAAGGCGAACAATCAGTTTTTGTTTTGAACACAAAGGTGGAGCTTCAGAACAAAAAATAGATGTCTTGAGAGTCATTACTTTCTTGTCACTTGATGTAAGAAATGAGAGTGGAGTGATCAAAACAGAATGTCCAGATAGATGTCACAAAAGATAGTGACAGGCCCATTGAACTGTCCACACCTCAAAGACATTTATGTGGAAAGACAACTCTGCAAGAAGGGATATGAGAGAGTCAAATCTTCAAAAGAAACAGATCCACAATCATAGGAAGAAAAGGAGACACAAGAGCCTTGGAAATAAGAAGCTCCATATCTTGGATATGTAAAGGAGAAGGTTAAGCCCATCCAGCAAATGAAGCAGAAAAGACTCCCAAATGAATTAGAAATGGAATGAAAGTCAAGACTGACTTAGAAGCCTAACCAGTCAAGGTAAAGAGATGCCATATTGTGGTGAAAATGAAGGCTCATAAAGTGCATTTTGCAAATGAAAGCCCTCAGGATTTGGATGAAAACATACAGGTATGATCCCAAAAGGACAAAAAGCTCCTAAGAGAAAATTTGTGTGACCTAAGGGTTTCCTGCAAAGTGGTTTCACAGTTGGACAAGGTGTAAGAGCAAAACTCTCATAGGACCTCTTAGGAGGGGAGACACCAGAAAGGGGTCACAAGACAAAGGACTCCCCATATAATGTTTGCATGATGGAAGGATGCCAAATGGAGTTTCTCGAGATTAAACAAAGAAAATACAAAGCAATAAATCAAATCTCAGAAACAAGAATAGGTTAATGGGACTTTAACCAGTAAAGCTGTTTGATGCAGAAACTCAAAAGGAAAGGGTAAAGAGGAAAAGCAAGTTAAGAAGGTGAGTAAGTAAAAGATGAAGATAAGCAGACTGAGGATAAAAGAGAGTCAAAATAGGAGAAACAAAATATCCCCTTGCTGGGAATAAAAAAAAAGAGATTCAATGGATAAGAGCACCAGAAAAGAGGAACAGTTGTTACATCAACAGGCCAAAGAGAAGTAGTCTTAAGTTTGGGGAGGACATAGCATCCAAGAGTTAACATCAAAAATTGACAAAAAAAATATGCAATATTGCAACTATCAGGTGAGAGAGGAAAAGATGAATGCAAGATGCCTGCCCGTGATTCAGCAGAAACAACTGGAGTAAGAGCACAAATGTCATATACCTGAGTTATCAGAGAAGCTAAGGACAATGGCAGTGTTATTTGATCCCTGTCGAGGATAACAGAAAAAGAAAACAGCTAGTTACCTTTTCCCACTCTCACATATAATGTAAAAATACAACTTACAATTTTATAGAGGGCTTTTACATGTACCTGGGTTGAAACTGTTGTCTGTGGAAGAGAAGGTCCAACAAGATGTAGATTGTCAGTTTTCACTTCCTGACGCTTAACCATTTTCTTCCCAGGAAAAACTTGTGGAGACCAAACGTTGTGATGTTTCTGTAAAGATACATATGAATTCAGTGTAAGAAAAACTTTTAAAAGTGAAAATAATTTAAAAGTTTAAGCTAAGTCTAAAAAACCACAGAGCTAAAAACAATTATCATTGAAATTAAAAGGTTCAACAATATAATATCATAATGTTGCAAGAAAAACCAACAATATAGACTATAGATACATGTACACTCAATAATAAAAATGCAACTGTTTTTCATATCTATTAGGTCGTCAAGAAATTAATGTCGCCTTTTGGAACACTTTCATTAACCAATGAACCAAAAACCGTACATCACGTATAATAGTTAAACGAACTGCCTAAATGTCACGTTAGTATAGCCTATATAATGTGTTAAAGTTTAGTATACTCTAATCCCTTATAGTAATGGCACACGACGAGACACACATTTGGCATGTAATGCTGCTTGAATGCAAGAAGGAAAACAATGCCTCTGTAGCCACAAAGAATATCAAAGAAGTTTATGAAAATGTTTTAAATGTTCGTAAGTGTCAATGATGGTTTAGCAAATTTCATTCAGGTGA